ATATATATATATATATATGATATATATATATATGATATATATATATATGATATATATATATATATATATATATATGTATATATGTATATATATGCATATATGTACTTATCTATATAAATGCATGGATATACTTATATATATATACACTTGTGTGTGTGTGTGTGTTTGTGTGTGTGTTTGTGTGTGGGTGAAGAGAAGAAAGAGGGGCGGGGGGTGGGGGAACTTTGTCTGCATATGTATATGTATCATTGCAGTGTACTTAACTGACACTGTTTGATGCAAGGATATGCTTTTCGCAACTCGTGCGTGCATTTGCAAAAGTTTAAGAAATTCTTTCCACAAAGCACATCTTGAATTGTATTTTGATTTCAATTCGCAAATTTCGAAAATCTTAAAATATTACAAATAAGTTAATTATCACAAATTACCTTAACGAATTTCTGTTTCGAATTTTATAAAATATATATATAAATATGTATATATATATAGGTATATATATATATATATATATATATATTTATATATATATTATTTATATATCTTTTTTCTTGAATTCCATAATTTTAGTTCATTTTAATGCTGATCTTACTTTCCCATTGCACATATTGTTGCATGCAATGATTTTAGGAATGCAAACAAGCCTCCCGAACAATAGGAGCATAAAAGTCCTTGATAAATTTTCTTGGACATTGCCTTTGCTGGTATGTGTGTCTCACATATTTAAATTTATTTAAATTTTTCTACTTTTCTTTATGAATCATTTCGCATTTGATTCCTTTCGTATTATAATATAATTACAATAATTACTTTCACTTTTCTTTTCTCTTAATCTTACTTCAAATTGTGTTTATTTTTCTTTTTTTCAATATACTATTCACTTGTATTTGAAAAAAATATTTCTACTTTTCATGGCAAGATTTATATCACATGTTTGGTTTTGAGAACACGCACATATATACACATGCACTGGGATGGTTGACAAAACACTAAAACTCGTTTTTATAGCTTGCAGTTCTTCAAAAACTTTCAAACACTTTGTTTTGATATATGTTATGTGTTCAGTATTTCTAACAGGAGAAGGCAATCGGAGCAATCGGAATAATCATCTCCTTCTTAATAAAAACGAACGCAGCAAGAGTAAGTAATTACGAGCGAATAAAAAAAATAACTACATAAATATAATACTTGGATGAAACGCAAGCGCAGGTTTTCAAAACTTTCATCTCTTTCTTTTCCATGAGATATGTGCGTTAAAACTTTTTAAAGCTTTTTTTACGGACGTTATTTAGAGGGCCCTTAAAATAGAAGGAAAAATTTACAAAATTGTTTATCATTTTTTACATTGATTAAATATATATATATATATATATATGTTTATGTGTATGTTTATGTGTTCTTTTCATTCCCTTTACAATTGCGAATGAGAGAGCGCATAAACTCTATGGTATATATAATGAGTTAGCGCGCGAATTATAATTCTCTTAGCCTCATTTTCGTTGTTCTTTGTCGGGCCGTCTATTAAAATGAAAATATTAAAAACTAATATATGCGTAGCTTACTTTGATACTAAATTTGTGTCTTCTCCACGAACGATGTCTTCCGACAAGTTTCGCGGACTTATTTCTCGATTATGTGTGTCAAGTGTCAAGGCATCTTGAGCACCCCTTCCATCCATTGAGTTGCCAAAATGGACAAAGCTTGTCACATAACTCATTCTAGTTATCGCTCAATTTCTCAATTAGGATTAATCCCTTTCCCCTCTATTAACGAATTACCAAAGATGCCGATCTCTCAACATCAAAAACTAGAATATTCCATACTGTTGTACTCGCTTCACCCTTTCACACCCTTTCACACCCTTACTTATCAACCTAATAAATATCGTTATATTCTTACATCTTTAAACACACAAGTAAAACCCTAGACAGGACCGCGACCCACCATTAAGGACGGCACACCACTTCGCTTAATACAATTATTGATATAAGAATATTTCAAAATAAAGCATTACATACGAAGAGGTCGGGGAAAGAGTGGGGTTCGACGCAAATCGCTAGCGCTCGCCGTTGTCTCTCAAAAATTGCAACGTACAGAATTGAATAGAAGAATATAAGACGAATAAACCGATAAACGAGCTTGGAAACAGAAAGTGATTTTAAATCGATCGGCATAATAAAAAGTGACTCTATCTCAAGTCCTTCTGGGTGCTGTGTACTTTCGCACCTTGTATCACAAAGGTTGTAAAGTGTGGAAATACGTAGTTGGACTCGAGTAAGTCGAGTTCGCTAATAGTCACAGAGAAAGCTCACAATTTTAAAATGTCACCAGTTTCCGCATAGAAGCATGACACTGATGGTGAAAAAATTTCATATCACTGTTCCCAATTAAATGAATTGATTCGTGTAAGTTCGTCGCACTATCATGTCATACAATGACGTTTGAAAGGTGGCACAAAAAGAAGTTATGATATTCGTTAAAGGAACGAAAATTTTCACGATATTCGTTCATTCTACAATATCGTCTCAATCAAGGCGGTAAAGTTTCGCACTTTCGTAAAAAAATTCGTGGTGTGAAATGTCGGCACCTGGCAAATAATTTCTATTCTGAAAATTTCAATGTTAAAAAGGGGTCGCTGTGTGGTGGACCAATTGTTTATAAAGTCGATGGAATTTTTCAAAAAATTTGGGCAAAATCGACACATTTCACCGTATGACATCACCGCTAAAGTAAACATTGGACAAAAAACAGTTTCAGATCATCCGCACGGGCGATGAAAAGATGAGAGAAGATAGCGACCTAAAATCGATAAATGTGCGCGAGTGGTGAGAAAACCGGGATTGACGGCAAGCAAGGTAATGGTTGGGCGTGTTGAATGCGATTGCAGCGTAAGCGTACACCTTGAAATGCCCCACCCTGACCAGACGGCTGGTTCCTCTCTCTCCCCAGTTAACAACTCGCCGCACTCGATGACGACAATGTCTCTCGGCTTGGAGCTTAATTCAGAAATTCTGAAAGTCTCTCAATACTGTAAGACTGACTTCAAAAAGGACCAGAAATCCATCACGTACATGTTTTTGTGACTTTGCTTCGCATTTCTATACAAGAGACGAGATACTCAACCGCTTGATTCTTCCATTTGTGTTTATAAAAAAAATTTAACTTGGGATATGTCATACGTCGATAAGCCGATCAACTGATACTGTGGACTTCCCAAAATCAGAACGCAATATCAATTTAATATACTACTTTAGTAGAACTACAAGACTCAATATCTGATTTACTTTTCTAAAATGGAGTCGATAGTGTATGTGGTCGCTGCTCGATATCTTCATATTTGCGAACGGGAGAATGTTTATCGCAGACACTACACATATGGGCAGACGGTTAGACGGGCAGATAGGCCGACGAACAGAGAAACATGCTTAGGTGCATCTAGAATTTGAAACTAACCAAGAATTTGTATGCTTTATGGGGTTTTTGAAACTTACTTCTGCTCGTTATGAAGGTATTAAAAAAAATGAAAATTTTATCCGCTATAACATTGCGTCCATTGTCCATTTTTTCCCTTTTTTATACAAATCGTACAGGATGGCCCATAGATTATACGTTCTAATTTTTCTACATTTATCAGCTATAGTTTATGAATAATAATCAAAAAACCAATTTATTATTCCTTTCGAAGCCCAGCGGCGTTCTCACTTTGCATAGTACTGTATGCGTGTCCTCCGACCGATTTGGCCTAGTTTCAATAGCAATCTTGCGTACAAGAAGAACTACCAATGTTTTCGCCGAATATGAAGTCGGTAGTCTCATGTTTACGGCCAAGAGTATGTTTGCAAAAGACATTGCAAGGACGGACAGACGGACAAGCGGACAGCGGGCAAGGGCACATACTTCAATCGATTCGGAATTTGACACTGATCAATAATATATATACCTTTTAAGCTTTCTGAATATACCCCTCATCCTTCGATGATTGGTATAAGTCGACATGTATGTGCCGTGTATTTTCGCATATCAATTATGGCATTTATTTGCCTTCTTTTGTTCTTCTCTTTTTGTTTTAAAGTCTTTCAAATTGTTTAACCGTCCTTTGTATTAAGTAATTCATGTCCACTTGTTTCAGAATTTCAACGGATCTCTGGCAAATTCTAATTTCACTGCTACTTGGTTTGTGTCCAAATTAATATACGTGCACACATGTTGAGTACATTGGAAAATCAAATTTCATCTCTATATGCTCCCTACATGATAGCGTAATAATACAATCACTCAGCGTATGTTCGTTTTATTTATATGTTCAGCTAACATTTCTCCTGTTTCAACACAACTTAGTTGGGGACAGTCAAAAATTCGATCCGAACCTTATATATATATATATATATATATATATAGATATACTCTTTGCTTCTTACACAGATATTCTCTTTTATATATTGCGTTACGCTATTTTTCCAATTTTCTCTTTCCTTGTGGAACTGTTTTTCATATTTTCATTGAAATTTTCATTTTCATTTTCCCAAACTGCAGATAGACAAGATGAGAGCAAGATCCTAAAGAAAAATTGAACGAGAAACAGACCCTAAAAATTACTAAGGAAAAACATTAGAAGCTTATTGTGTAAGTTTCAACATAAAAATCGCTTACTATATTTAAACGAAAAGAACCAGCTAACTTATATAAAAATAGTCTAATTTTAGAAATTCTAAAAAGAAAATATCTTAAACAACAATAGAAATTATGTTATACGTATGCCTAGGTTCCTCATTGCAATAACAAGTGAGTTAAGCGTGAATAAAATGTAGTGAACGTAAATACAGTGAATATGACTTTATTTCAGATTTGATAAAGTATGGTTAATGAAATTAATCAGCCTAAAGAGATCACGGAGAATGCTCAATTGGAGCAGCGATTAATTGCTTCAAGTCACGCATTATTGGAAATGCAAGCTGAACATAATCAATTAATGCAAAGCATGGAACAATTACGCGAAAGAGCTGGGGAACTGCAACAAATGCGCTTTCAACAATCGTCAGAACTGCAATCAAGTAGCACCCAATCGTCATCTTCAAAAATACAAACTAAGATCACTGAGGCAATTGAAACGAAGGAGGAAGCTATAGCAGAAAAATCGAAAGAATCCGTGCAATCCGAAGACGGGGATAAAAAAGCTGCTTCAGAAGCTGACTATATAAGTCAAAAATTAAATGAAATAGCTTTGCTTAAGGCTCAGTTTAAAAAAGTACAAAATTTGGTTAGTACTACGGAAATGATCGAAAAACATTTGAGTCAACAAACAACTAGTGCTTCAAATCTTAATAAAGAAATCGTCAGTGAGGAAAGTGAGAAAAGTGAAATCACTAGTACTTATGAGTGCGCTACAAGTTCTAAATCGCATAGTCTTTTGACCAAAACTTCGAGCATTTCGACATCTACCAATCAGACATCAAATGAAGATAGCGACGATAAACGTCAACTATTAAATACTATGGTCGATATGTTTCAGGATTTATCTGGTGATTTAAAGGAGCAAGCGGACAACTTGCGTGCAGAGAGAGAGCGTATTAAAGCCTTAAAGGAAGATATTGTACGTCAAAAGCAACAATCAAAAAAATAAATATAATTTTTCAACGTTTCCTGCTTAGTATTAATAATCCAAATTTTATTTATAATATTTTTTTTTTTTTTTGTTTTTTTGATTTCTAAATTTCATTCGTTTTCTTTAATTTTCGCTTTAATTTCGTGCAGTTGTTTTCGTAAAATTATTTATAAATATTAATGTATAATATTGTGGATTGCACATTAAAATAAGTTGATCTGGCAACGTAGTTTGTATCATTGTCAATAACCGGAATATGTTTTTGCTTTGCAAAAAATTTTCCCCCGAATAATTGTTTTTACACAAAAAGGAAAACCGAAAAGATTTCCAAAAAAAAGGAAAAAAGTCGCTTTTGTTCAATTTTAGAATCGCAAAAGGAAAAACTTTGCATAAGAAGGGATTTTAATTTATATAAAGAACTAAACACAGTAACATAAGAGGCCGAGTGCGAATTTTACACATATGTGGTGTAAAAAATCGATGGAATTTTTTTTCATTGATCATTTAAGTTCAGTACAAAGGTTATCATTCGTTAACGATTATGGCTCCTGCTAGAAATCCCAATAACAATTATGTGGCACATAATAAATCGGCGGCCAGCGGCTGCGGCAGTTCCAACTCCAACGGAACTACAGGTAGTATAACCAATTCCACAAATAAAAGTTTATCAGCATACAAACCTCAGTAGTGACATTGCGTAAATCTACAGGCACAGTTCCTAAAGTTTCATCATCAAATAAGCCTAATTCCAATCCGAATGCTACAACTTTGGAAGGTAGCGCCCATCAACAACAAAAAACTATTTTACAACCTATTGGTGTGAATAATGTAGCAAATCGATGTAGCCCTTTAAATATAGTAGCTTCAATACAACAACAGCAGCAGCAGAAAACGCGTCAAGTCCAACAACAACAACATCAACAACAACCACAGCAACATAAAAATACCGAAGTTGTAGCACCAATAAGAAGAGACCTTAAGGATTTGAATGTAAGCGACTATCTGAAAATAAATGCATCATTCTAACTCATTAACCTAATTAGCTAACATTAACTGATTTTTTCAATATTATTATTTTATCATTGATTATATTCAATTTATTACATTTTATATGCTTTATTATATGCATTACATGCATTGTTTGCTAAAGCAAGTCAACCGTAATAGTTTACTTCTCGTAGCGCACTCGAATTTTAGTTAATGTTAAATGCTTAGTGAATTCGAGTAAGCAACATTTAAAAGATCGTTTTATACACGCTTGCTATCGTGCTTAGGTATGAAGCCTACAAAATTCTAAAATATGTTTAGAAAATAAATGCAATCTTGAACCATTCAAAACATGGTAAGACGATGTTAACGCGTAAAACAGAGCTGTTAAAATACGTAAAATCGACAAGAAGAAAACTATGTTAAAAATGGCACCAAAAATATGCGCTACAAAACTATGTTAGCAACGACTACAAGATCTGTTAAAAACGGCAACAGAAGTGTACGCAACAAAACTATGCTAAAAACGAGAACAAGATCTGTTGAAAACGACAACAAGAGTATAAACAACAAAATTAAAAACTGCAACAAAAGTATAAAGATGGAAATTTTCTCGTGTAAAGAAAAAAGTTTCATTGAAGATGATGCATTAAATACATTAAAAAAGTAATGAAATTATCCAAATATTTTTGACAATGTTTTAGCATGATGTTTAAATTATTCTATTCCAAATTAAATGAATGAGCAAATCGTAGTGTAAAAATGTAAGCTCGTAAGCTATACAATGTGCGCATTAAAACATCTTAGCCATCTATCGGAGTCATTTTCCTGAGTTTCATTTACGTATTTGTAAACGATATCAGGGATAACAAATCGTTTTATAGAGGGAACGCGCAACTCGTAATAAACAATTTGTTTTCCAATCTCACACAACATTACAGCAGTCTAAACGACCAATGTCAAAAGAATACATCTAAGTAGCTAACAATTGCGTTTGAAATTTGCACGAATTGTGCAAAGATTGCGTAATATCAACACTAAACGATGTTACAGATTTAGATTTAGTTATTAAGCAAAAAAAAAATATTTTGAAATCAAAAAGCTTAAGCGGAAAGTTCAATTGAGCTCCAAAGGTTCAATGTGATCCGATTAGGATTAATATAATAGCAGTCGCAATTTTCTGTTTACTCTTAACACAACTCGAGTAATGGTAGAAAGGAAACAGTTAACGGGTTTTTTTTAACAGAGTTTGGGACGCTTCCGTGGAACAAAACTCCTTTGCGATATTGCCTGAGAGAATTCAATAATTACTTTTGCATTATCCGCCTGATTGGCCGAGTAGTCAACAGTCTCGACTAGCAATTTCCATGGTCGTGGGTTTAAATCTCAAGTGTTGTAGAGTTTTCAATAAAGCCGATAGCCTTACATGCTGCTAGTGCTTTAAGGCTTTATATTTAGAATTTATTCTCTGGCTAAATTAATAATAACTAATGACAGTATATCTGCCTACTTATGACGATTTTGATCACACTACATACACACACATATCTTGTCCTTTCAAAAAATTTTTACCCTAAATGTCGCTTTTGCTCAGGTGCGTTTAAAATTAAGAAAACAACATGACCTACATTACAAAAACAAAGTGAACAAGGTGAACATCAACATTTTGGCGTTTGCGAAAGTTTACTTTTTGTTTGTTCCATGCAGGAATTATGAATTTGTAGCCATGATTCCGCTATTCACTTTAGTCGGGATATCTATATTCTGTGAGATTTTCAATGGGTGTTTCACTTTTCCTTTGGGATAATTCAACATATCTGATCTAATGTGTACGGAATATACGAATAATTACATTTTTATAACCCACTCTTAAGAAACGAAATAGTTCACCTATTGTAAAGCCGTTTGTAGATCTATGCGCACGACATATGTGATCAATGGTGCACCATTACTATCGTTGTAAGAACTTGCGCGATTGCAAAAATTGCATTTTATTTAATTTATGGACACCAGGCCAGATGTTAAATGTGGAATATTGAAAGAACACTTTCAATCAACCAATTGTGCGCGACAAGAGCTGTGATATTGGATATAGGATGTATGCAACACTAAGAAAGATTTAAATTAGTTCCAGCTTTTGTTGTATCGATCGGTTAAGAATTGTTTCATGAAACTTGTCTGCCCACATAGATGTGCAGATCCTATTCATAATGAATTGAATCGGACCATTTTTTATATACCATTCCTCATCGATTGAAAAACTCGTTATATGAAAAAAATTTGAAATTTTTCAAAATTCAAAATTTTGCAACAAATCGCTGAATATTAGTATTTTCACATACGAGAAATTTCAATAGTAGAGGAAAATTTTTGAATTGTCTCCCATAAAATCGCTTCTACGAAACTTCAGAGTTCATATGGCGAAAATGTCTACTTATTCATAATTTATGGTATTTATGTACCGGTCGTTAAGAGTAACCTGATTTTATACCATCCCACCCGGCATAATGGTTCCCATTAAAAGTAGCCCTTTGCACGCCCTCATAGCGTAATGTTGGGTACCTTGTGGAAAATAGTAAAAATCTCTGCCAAGAAAAATAAATTTGGATCATGTCTGCTCATGTTTTAGGCATCTTCCAATAAAAGAGTTCGCGTGAAAAGTATGCGTGAAGCAATGAATAACTTTTTGCTATCATGGATTGTATTACGCGAAATGCTGTTAGGTATTTAACTGTAACTGTTTTTGCTTATTTTATTAATAACATCGAGTCGATATTATAAAGAAGATCCTGATTAGCCCACTGATACATCAACAACAATTAACAAAAAATTCAAGAGAACATGGTTAGTTGCAGTAACGTTACATGTTTCCACCTAGATGTCCATCATCTGTTTACAAAGAATTTTCAAATAATCTCCAAATAAAAGCCGAGGGAAGTTATAGACGGTCTAGACCGAATGTATTGATACCTGCCAGTAGCATCAATAGAAGAGATAAGATATTTAATTGCAAGACAAAGAGTGCAGAGCAATTCACTCTACATATAGGTCGTGCATCATACAATATATTTCCGGCAATAATTTGACATAATTGCGCAGTACATTGGGCAAGTGTTTGTACAAACTAAAAATAACATTTGCATATTATATCCTGTTTGATATTTGTGAGAAAATACGATAATCTATTTGGTTGGTTTCCAAAATTCGTAAGTGAAAATTTTTAGATCACTTTTAGACAAATACTTGAACCGTGTCAGACAGAAAGACATGGCTATGGAATAATTGTACATATCCTGTCGCTGGTCGAGTGTCAAGAGCAAAATCACAAAAATAACATATCCAAAACAAATGTCGGCCGAAATACGAAAATGACAATGTAGGAGAGGACGCCTAGAAGAGAATTTCTAATAATATTGAAATCTAAAAACATTCTCTTTCTGTACCTTTTGCTCTTAGTTGTTTATGCCATTCGGGCCATTTTAGTTTCTATTTTGATTATATTCACGCATACTGGTAAAAAAATGTTCTCACCTCGCATTAGTTCATTTTCATACGATCGAGGAACGAGAACGAAATATATTTTTGGGTTTTTTTTTTCTTTTAGTAATACATTTTTTAGGCAATTATTCTTCATTGCCGGTTCCCCAATAACGTTGATATTGTGAATTATATTTTATTTATTTTTATTATTTATTTTTTTTTTTACTATACCTAAGGACTATTTACTTACAACGGTGGTTACAACAGCGAACAGCATTAATTCGAATAACAATAACAACCAGCAGCCGTCTTTGGTTCAAAATAGTAACACTATCAACAGCGTTGCAGGCGCTACCAATAGCGATTTAGGTAAGTATATATATATATATACATATATACATATGTACATGTATCATTTAAAATAGCGTTGAAAATGTTTGTGCGTCTTTAAGCATTAAAAATAATTTCTGTATTTCTATATAACTTCTCACCATCGAAGGATGAGAAAGTATACTGACTTAGTCATTCGATTTGTAGCAACAAGAAATACGAAATATATATACATTCTTGATCGGTGATCA